ATAAAAATTATATAAAAAAACACTTATCCTGTCAAAAAAGATAGTCATTGGCCATATTAACACAGTTATTGTCTAACAGTTTGACAGTGATTGGCCTCTATCCATGCAAGAATGAGTAAATTGAATGAGATAATTAAACAGTGACAAAGAAATTATTTGGCATCAAAAAACTAAAATTATTAAATCAATATATATTTTATTACATATATTTAACATATGAGATAAACATTATTATTAATTGTATATTAATTATTATATATTATAATATAAACAAGAAAAACAAATTTTGTTTAACAAGTATTATTTTTAACTAGACGAACTTTTTTTGGAAATATTTCATTTTTCAAAATTTTTGGTTTTAAAATTGCCTGATCTTTTTTTTCCTTGTTATTTTTGGTTTTTCATCAGTATTTTCTTTATTGTCAATTTTTTCTTTTTTAACTTTTTGTGACATCATTTTTTTTCCTGTTGTTTTTGTAATCTTGCTAATTTTTTTTGTTCTTTAATTTTTCAGCAAGTTTTTTCTTTTCTAATATGGTTACAGCTGAAAAATATATCTTTTTAGTAATAACAAATATAACTTACTGTCTTATCTGTCACTCGATGTAAGAGGCCAATAACTGTCACATAGTTTCCATAACCACAAAACATTGGCCGAATGGCCAATTACTGTTGTAAAACGTTGTTACGTCCAGTGGACTTCACGATTCTTTTCTTTCATCGAAACGCTATCTTAAAAGTAATCAAAGATAGGCTCGAATTTGAAACGGAATCTAACTCGCGTAAATAAATAGTAAGTCTAAACACTGAGAGTGGCCAGTCGAGATAGCGCTAAGGAAAATCTAAACAAATTTTTGAATTATGAGACTCGGAAGTATATGAAATTCGAACCACTCGTATCCATGGTTATAACTTGGTTTATTTTAGAGATTTTAAACAAAGAGCCTATGGTCCTGAAGAAATTGACCAGAGGTAAACATAAATTAATATTCCACGTGCGTTCGTTCGACAGGCCATTCTCAATCATCAAGCGATAAGATAATCAGCTCCTCGCTTTCACTCTCTACTGAATGGAGCTAAATCTCGCGCAAAAGGGCTTAACCAATTAAAATCTTAAGACACTCCTCTCTTACTGAAAATCTAACTCCTTGGCCCTAAGAAGGGAGTAATAGAAATCATTTGATTCGATTTTCAAAGATTCCCATCATCCAGTAAGGAGGAGGAGCAACTACTTTAAAAGATGCAAGCGCAAGGCGCGAGCACTCACTTGTTCTTTAGTTCATTAGTTCTCTAGTTTATTAACTCACTTGCTCTCTAGTTCATTAGTTCATTAGTTCTAGTTCACTAAGCGTTCACTAATAAGCACTAACTAGCACTATAAGCAGTACAGTTGACAACTCCAGTCAAGATTCAGTTATTCAATTTTTAAATTATATAGCCTCGGTGATCCTTTTTTTGCATTATGCAGTTAAGTTATTAATTTGTTTTATATCACAGTGAAAATGATTTTGTTAACATTTAATCATGCATCATGTGAAATTTCTGATGAACATCTTTATTACTCGGCTCTTCATGTTATAAACCTCCGACTTCAGCCATTGTAATTTTATCAACGCACTTATTTTTGTGATTCCAACGAGTTGTGAGTAAAATTGAGCAACTTTTATTTTCTCCCTTTTCCATATCTTACTATCTCATAATTTAAACATCTATTTAAACATCTAAACGTCTAACAAATAATTTTAAACAGTTTAATAATCATTAAATCTTTACTAATTATTATCAATCAATCAATCAATCCTTGTTTCACCTCTCCTCCAGTCTCATTCCTTGTTCTTCCTAATTCGCCTAGAATCTCCGAAAGGCGATTCGCGAATAAATCTCCTACGATATTTATCCATTCGTTCAAGATTTCAGCATTGGAATTCACGAATATTTCCTTTATTTATTCGCTCTGGATTTCAGCATTGGAATTCGCGAATAAATTTCCTACGATCTTTATTCATTTGTTCAGGATTTCAGCATTGGAATTCACGGATATTTCCTTATTTATTCATTCTGGATTTCAGCATTGGAATTCGCAAATACTTTTCCGCTCTCCGAAGATTCCGAAGAATAATCCATCCTACTAGTTTCCTTTAATTTTTCTCTTTTTCTTCTCTCTCTCTCTCTCTCTCTCTCTCTCTCTCTCTATTATTTTCTTTGTATTATCACTACTTTTGGGAGAAACCGTTGAAATAGATAAATAATATTTGAAATAACTAATAATTTTCTAACTTAGACTTGGCGAATCTCTTATTTAGAATTTTATTATTGTATTTTAATTTGGACCTGAGCTTCAGCGAATTTAGAAAATTTTAATTTTAACTAATTTAATTCTAACACGCGAGAATATATATATATATATATATATATATATATATATATATACTACACACACACACACACACACACACACACACACACACACACACACACACACACACACACACACACACACACACACACACACACATACTCACTCATGTATAACTACAACTGCTAAAATGTATTTTTCTTTCCTTATATTTTCTTTATATAATATATGTTTTTTTTTATTTAATGTAGAATTTAATTATTTAACCCGTTGTCTTCCCTAAATCCTGAGATCACACTAGGTCCTATTCCGCGTAACAAGGATTAAATTCCTTCACCGAAAAGGGACCACCGAACGAATAGGCATAAGAACGTAGAGAAGAGACCTTCGGTCACTGACCTGTGTCAGGCCCTTCACATTCGTTCGACCCGATCCATACACACTCCCGAATAAAAGTGTGTAAGTAAGTTACGTTCTTCCATACAACCTATCCTTTCAAGGCCTGGACGTAACAGTACAGTAATGTGTACAAAGTGTAAAAAATCGTCGCATTTCCTCGATTGAATTTTTAATTTGATATGGAAATATTTAAAAAAGAAAAAAATTATCTCTCGCGCAAAATATTACAAGGACGCTGAAGTGCACATTTATTTGAGAAAATTGCGACTGATATTTTTATACAATCTGTGCACAATGCTTTGAAATAATAAAACCCTCCTATTTTTTTCTTTTTTTTCTTCGATATAACTCGAATATCATCACGGATACGAATAGAAACGTAAATCCGACGTACATCGCGCAACGTTTACGTAGCTCTTGAAAGGGCCACACACCACAAATAGTTAACAGAATGCGGAGATTGTTGTAGTTCGACTCACAAAAGAAATCGTTGACATCACACATGTTACTCTTTTTGCCACTGACGGTTTGGTGCGAGTGAAATTCATTTTACTTACGGAGGTCTCTAGATTAGGTTTGTCTCTCATAAAAAATTCCGTTTAATGTTGATTGCCATGTGTATGCGACATGCACATGTTGTCAACACATTCATGCTGTGAAACGAGCTACTACTATTAGGGGCTATTTGCAACCGATTGCGCAGTTGGTTATATTCAAAGATATCGAGGATTAAAGGTAGCATTTCTTTTACAAATTGCGAAACAATACAAACATTGATTGCATTAAATGAAAGACAGAATTTTGAGAATAAAACGAACTTTTATCGATTCTTTCTATATTTTGGTACTGTTGCAAGTAAATTTTCAATAAACTCTATCGAAAGAGAATTGTATGATTTGAAAATTATAGAAAATATTATTCTATAAATTTCTTTTAGTAGGTTTTAATTTTTCTTTTGCTTTGAAAGAAATGACATCTTGTGATAAAAGCGAAAAGTATTTCAATTAGTTTATTTTATTGCTGTTAATAAAAGTTTTCGAGTCTATTGCATGCAGTCTCAGTTATTCAAGTATTATACAGGGTTGGGCAAAAGTCCGGAAACGGTCAAATATCTCGAAAAGGATCAACTATAGCGAAAAATTGTAAATAGCAAAGTTGTAGGGCTTAAAAAAATGTACCTAATGATGACTAAAAATTTTACTTTGAGTGGAGGACGAAGATCATATAAAAGTCAAATTGAATTTTTTAAATGGAACTGCCTACTTTTTATTGCATATTCTTATAGCTTATCTCGAGACCTTTACAAAACACTATAATTAAGTACTCTTTTTATTAAGTACTTTTTGAGTATAAGGCTTGAAATAATTTCTTAATTTTACATAAACCATAAAATATCTAGTAAACCATTCATTTTTCGATTATCTTACCTTCATACTTTTATGTACAAAATAATGAGAGGAATCAATTGGTGTAAAGAAAACATATAGTTGTTTTTAAGAAAAAATATGGAATTGTTAATTGCAAATTACATATTTTTTCTTAGAAACAACTATGTGTTTTCTTTACACCAATTGATTCCTCTCATTATTTTGTACATAAAAGTATGAAGGTAAGATAATCGAAAAATGAATGGTTTACTAGATATTTTATGGTTTATGTAAAATTAAGAAATTATTTCAAGCCTTATACTCAAAAAGTACTTAATAAAAAGAGTACTTAATTATAGTGTTTTGTAAAGGTCTCGAGATAAGCTATAAGAATATGCAATAAAAAGTAGGCAGTTCCATTTAAAAAATTCAATTTGACTTTTATATGATCTTCGTCCTCCACTCAAAGTAAAATTTTTAGTCATCATTAGGTACATTTTTTTAAGCCCTACAACTTTGCTATTTACAATTTTTCGCTATAGTTGATACTTTTCGAGATATTTGACCGTTTCCGGACTTTTGCCCAACCCTGTATATCTTCCATATGTGACTTATATTGTTTCATCATAATTGCTAAATATTGATATTATTTGTTAAAATTTTATAACTTATAAAGAAAACTACTGACAAATAGTAATAGTAATTATGAAAAATTGTTCATAACAATAAATGTTTGTAGAACAATTTTCAAAAAGTTAAATTAGTTTCTTGTTAAAAAAAAAACTGTTTTTATTGGAAAAATTATATAACAATTGTTTCAGGATTTTATTAAATTATTTACATAAACTGTAACGTCTCCTCAGTTATTAAAGTATTAATATAAATATGAATTGTATTCAAAATGTTTATTGTAGAGAGCGCAATAGCATAAAGTATGATGATGATGCGCGTATTACCTTAAACAATTTTTTTTATTTTTATAAAGCACGTATTTGCATGAAATAATTATACTTACCGCGTTAAAAGTTATGTATGACAATGCAAAGAGTTTACCAATAGTGAGTTTCAATGGTTTTTTACTTGTCAACATTATCATTATAAGAAGCTTTTGTGTCGCTATTGGCATATTGTACCATTTTGTGTTATATCTGCAAATTTTGCAATATTTCCGAGGTTTATTTGTATTTATTTATAATTTCATGTATTTATTTCACGATCGTACTATTATTCTTTTATTGCAGTCTGAGGCGCGATTTTATAAAAAAATATTATAAAAAGCTATTAGATAGTTGTATAAAACGTACACGGATTCAAATACTTTTTCGCTGGAATCTATGACTTTTTGACCTTGCAAATTTTCAAAAAATATATTGATTAATAATGCATTCATATAACTGTAATGTTTTATAAAATTATTTATATTTTCCGTGTTTGTTATCATCTAAAAAATGGTAGCATAATATGAATAACATATATATGATAATATCATATATACAATTTTAAATTAATTATATTCTATAATTTATATTAAATAATTTTTGTGCATTATGTAAAATTATATGTAAAACGTGTCATAGAAATTTCATCAAACGTATATACCTGAAATCCTACAATGCTTAAACATATTAAAAGAAACCCCACGTGTACAAAGAAAGGTATGTTGTACATTGATTCCATAATAGCAATAAATCTAATGCATGAAGATATTATTTGAGATTATTATTATACGATAGAAATGTCAATACCCATTTAAATATACTCACTGCATCGTTTCGGTGTGTCTTCGAATACAGTATACGATATTTGAATAAGACGTATTCTGTGTTAATATTATATCACCATTATTGTTTTTGTAATCGAATGCATTTTCTAATCTATATCTGAAATTTAATATTGTCCAAGTATTCAAAAAATGTATGAACAAAATTGAAACAAAATTTTCTTTGGTTTAGAGCAAGATTCATTATATACGACAAGATTCATTATATATTTACCTCAAGCTTTCGAATAATCCACAACAGTATTCAATCAACGTTACATACAGGATATCGAATGCAGCTATTAGGAACACATAAGATATTTCGCATATAGCCGTATGTATGAAAATTGGAACATAATATGTGTCTACATCGATCATATAATTTACGGGATAAGATAGTCCCATTTGAATTCCTTGCGTAGTATTTGACGACGTATCCTTCTCTTTGGATTTTGTATTGATAAGCTTGGTCAATAAAGTTATAGATTGGAACACGATGGGGTGACCGACTAACAAAGCTAATTTATATATAAACGTCAAATTTTTATGATTTTTATCGAATAAATATATCATTATTATAAAAAGTGAAATGCTTTTTCAAAAATATCGATAATTATTATAAATTATATATGTTTCAATAATTATTATAAATTATATATGTATGTATGTATATATATGTGTATAAGTACAGAAAAACAATAATAAATATTTAAATAGATTTTTATATAAATTCAGTCGTTTAAAATTATTTAGAAGACCGAATTTATATAAAAATCTATTTAAATCTATTTAAAAATCCATTTAAATTTTTATTGTTTTTTCTGCACTTTATTATTATGCACATAATACACTGCATTATTAAACTCACTTATATAAATGTATCCGAATTTTCGTCCATATAACCCATGTGAATTATATATTTTAGTCTCTTCATCCAACTTTGAAGAAAGACAATATTTTTGCATATTTATTAGAAGCAGTTTTATCTATATAAGGAAAATTTATGATAAAAAATCATGTATGTTATCGTCCGTACTTTTATTATTAGCATTTATGACTTTTGTTTACCCACTTTTGGTAACGTATATACTGCATAAATCATTTTAATTATGGTCACTATACCGAGAAATAATATTGGCAGAGCATCGATTAGTTCAAAAGTATCATGCCAAATATTTATTAATCCCAATATCTACATTTCTCACGTGATTTATATCAAGCAAACGTATAATAATCATATATAACACATTATAATAACATATAATGTTAACTGAATTGTCCGATTGTAAATTATGTTGTCAAGTATATTTAAAATAGAATATAAAATTGATATATAAATCTATCTACATTATTACATACATATATTCCAGTATAAATTTCGTTAATTAGCATAATTATTACTATAATATTTAAATTCAATAATTTTTGATAGACAGTAGACATAAGCAAAAATTAAAAAATGTACAAAACTTGAAAATGTGACAAAACATTTGTCTTTAGTTTACCTCAAATGTAAATCCAGATCCGAGTACGAGTATCATTGCGAGGTATATCACGTAGCGTCTTCTTAACATATGGAAAGGCCATAGACCGCTAATACTTAGTATCAGGCGAATAACGTCGTAATGCGAATTTTTAAAGAATTGGTCAAATTGGTCGATATTATTCATACTGTCTTCTATCTATCGCTGCTATTGCAAGAATGACGCATAGATTGCAAATATCTCATCAAGAATTCTGTTTAACTTCAATTGTCGCAGACAATCAATGGGTAGTCTGTATCAAGAATTCCGCTTAAATTGTAATTGCCGTACATCACGCAAAACGCATGTCAACATATTTGTGCCACAAGATCGATATAGACTAATCAAGACTAATTCTTCAAATTGCAAAATTATGTTTGTAAATTATGTAAAAAGTTTGTAAATTGTATAAGAGACATAATCCAAAGGACTATTTGGATTGAAATTATTGTCGTAGTATATTTGACTCATATAAAAGAGACATGAAAATTTTACCCATATATAGAAAAAGTCACATTATATATATGAGTCGAAATGGTACAGTCGTTTAATGCTGATTGCTTTGAAGAATAATGCTTCTTCTTTCATCAAGAGAATATTTAGGTTTTTATTGTTGAAAATTTCCTGAATGTTCGTTAATTACGACAACTATACATATTTTATCAGAATCAAAGCGCGTAAGTTAATCCTTTTGTCGCTATTGGTATATTGTACCATTTTGTGTTATATCTGCAAATTTCGCAAGATTTCCATCACGCCAAGTTTTCATATCTTACTTCGATCTGAAGGTCATTTATGCGATTTAGAATTTGTGTAAAGCTTTTTTAAATTATGTACATCATATAAAAAATGCATTAGGAATTAAAGTAATTTTAATTCATTTAGTATCGATTACGAATTAATATCACATAATTTATTGTACTTGGCTAATAGTATTATAGATCTCATATCGGTTTTTAAATATTTTATTTTTATCACTTTTTTAAATTTTTTGATTTTTTTATATACTTGTCGTATTTTTTATCTTTATAAGGTTAATATAAATTCCGTTTAATATTGATTGCCATGTGTATGCGACATGCACATGTTGTCAACACATTCATGCTGTGAAACAAGCTACTACTATTAAAAGCTATTTGCGATCGATTGCGCAGTTGGTTATATTCAAAAGTATCGAGGATTAAAGGTAGTATTTCTTTTGCAGATTGCGAAACAATATAAACATTGATTGCATTAGATGAAAGACAGAATTTTGAGAATAAAAGGAACTTTTATCGATTCTTTCTATAGCTTGGTACTGTTGCAAGTAAATTTTCAATCAATTCTATGAAAGAGAATCGTATGATTTGAAAATTATAGAAAATATTATTCTACAAATTTCTTTTAGTAGGTTTTAATTTTTCTTTTGCCTTGAAAGAAATGACATCTTGTGATAAAAGTGAAAAGTATTTCAATTAGTTTATTTTATTGCTGTTAATAAAAGTTTTCGAGTCTATTGCATGCAGTCTCAGTTATTCAAGTATTATATCATCAATATGTGACTTATATAATTTCATCATAAATAATTGCTAAATATTGATATTATTTGTTAAAATTTTATAACTTATAAAAAAATTACTGTTAAATACTAATAGTAATTATGAAAAATTGTTCATGTCAATAAATATTTGTATGACAATTTTCAAAAAATTAAATTTGTTTTTTGTTTTAAAAAAACTTTTTTTATTGGAAAATTATATAACAATTGTTTCAGGATTTTATTAAATTATTTACATAAACTGTAACGTCTCTTCAGTTATTAAAATATTAATATAAATATGAATTGTATTTGAAATATTTATTGTAGAGAGCGCAATAGCATGAAGTATGATAATGATGTGCGTATTACCTTAAACAAATTTTTTTATTTTCATAAAGCACGTCTTTTCATGAAATAATTATACTTACCGCGTAAAAAGTTATGTATGACATTGCAAAGAGTTTGCCAATAGTGAGTTTCAATGGTTTTTTACTTGTCATCATTATCATTATAAGAAGCTTTTGTGTTGCTATTGGCATATTGTACCATTTTGAGTTATATCTGCAAATTTCGCAAGATTTCCATGGTTTATTCCATGTATTTATATATAATTTCTATGGTTTATTCCATGTATTTATATATAATTTCATGTATTTATTTGACGTCTGTGTTATTACATTTTTATTGTAATCTGATGGGCGATTTCATAAAAAAATATTATAAAAAGCTATTACTAGATGCTGTATAAAACGTACACGGATTCAAATATCTTCTCGCTGGAATCTATGATCTTTTGACCTTGCCAATTTTTAAAAAATATATTGATTAATAATGCATTCATATAAATACAATATGTTATAAAATTATTTATATTTTCCGTGTTTGTTATCATCTGAAAAAAGATAGCATAATATGAGTAACATATATATGATAATATCATATATTCAATTTTAAATTAATTACTTTCTATAATTTATATAAAATAATTTTTGTGCATCATGTAAAATTATATTATGTATATAATTGTATTATGTATATTAATTATGTAAAACGTGTCATAGAAATTTCATCTCAAACGTATATACCTGAAATCCTGCAATACTTAAACATATTACAAGAAACCCCATGTATACAAAGAAAGGTATGTTGTACATCGATTCCATAATAGCAATAAATCTAATGCATGAAGATATTATTTGAGATTATTATTATACGAGAAATGTACCCATTTAAATATACTCACTGCATCGTTTCGATATGTCTTCGAATACAGTATACGATATTTGAATAAGACGTATTCTGCGTTAATATTAAACCACCATTATTGTTTTCGAAATTGAATGCATTTTCTAATCTATATCTGAAATTTTATAGTGTCCAAGTATTTAAAAATGTATTAACAAAATTTAAACAAAATTTTCTTTGATTTAGAGCAAGATTCATTATACATATGACAAGATTCATTATATATTTACCTCAAGCTTTCGAATAATCCACAACAGTATTCAACCAATGTTGCATACAGGATATCGAATGTAGCTATTAGAAGCACATAAGATATTTCACATATAGCCATATGTATGAAAATTGGAACATAATATTTGTCTACATCGATCATATAATTTACGAGATAAAATAGTCCCGTTTGGATTCTTTGCGTTTCTTTTTATTTGACGATGTATCCTTCACTTTGGATTTTGTATTGATGAGCTTGGTCAATAATGTTACAGATTGGTACATGATGATGTGACCGATTAACAAAGCTAATTTATATAAAACGTCGAATTTTTAAGGTTATTATCAAATAAATATATCATTATTATAAAAAGTGAAATGCTTTTTCAAAAATATCGATAATTATTATAAATTATATATGTTTCAATAATTATTATAAATTATATATGTATATATATGTATGTATATATATGTATGTGTATAAGTACAGAAAAACAATAATAAAGATTTAAATAGATTTTTATATAAATTCAGTCGTTTAAAATTATTTAGAAGACCGAATTTATATAAAAATCTATTTAAATATATTTAAAAATCCATTTAAATTTTTATTGTTTTTCCGGAACTATATTATTATGCACATAATACACTGCATTATTAAACTCACTTATATAAATGTATCCAAATTTTCGTCCATATAACCCATGCGAATTATATATTTTAGTCTCTTCATCCAACTTTGAAGAAAGACAATATTTTTGCATATTTATTAGAAGCAATTTTATCTATACAAAGAAAATTTATGATCAAAAATCATGTATGTTTTCGTCTGTACTTTATTATTGGCATTTATGACTTTTGTTTACCCACTTTTGGTAACGTATATACTGCATAAATCATTTTAATTATGGTCACTATATTGAGAAATAATATTAGCAAAGCATCGATTAGTCCAAAGGTATCATACCCAATACTCATTAATCCCAATATCTATATTTGTCACATGATTTATATCAGGCAAATGTATAATAATCATATATAACACATTATAATAACATGTAATGTTAATTGAATTGGTCCGATTGTAAATTATGTTGTCAAGTATATTTAAAATAGAATATAAAATTGATATATAAATCTATTTATACATGTATTCTAGTATAAATTTCGTTAATTAACATAATTATTACTGTAATATTTAAATTCAATAATTTTTGATAGACAGTAGACATAAACAAAAATTAAAAAGTATACAAAACTTGAAAATGTGACAAAACATTTGTCTTTAATTTACCTCAAATGTAAAAGGTCCGAGTACGAGTATCATTGCGAGGTATATCATCCAGCGTCTTCTTAACGTATGAAAAGGCCATAGACCGCTAATACTTAGTATCAGGCGAATAAAGTCGTAATGCGAATTTTTAAAGAATTGATCAAATTGGTTGATATTATCCATACTGTCTTTTATGTATCGTTGCTATTGCAAGAATGACGCATAGATTGCAAATATCTCATCAAGAATTTTATTTAACTTTAATTGTCGCAGACAATTAATAGGTTGTCTGTATAAAGAATTCCGCTTAAATTGCAATTGCCGTACATCACGCAAAACGCATGTCAATAACATATTTGTGTCACAAGACCGATATAGACTAATGAAGATTAATTCTTATAATTGCAAAATCATGTTAGTAAATTATGTAATTATACAAGAGACATAAGCCAAAGGACTATTTCGATTGAAATTATTGTCGTAGTATATTTGACTCAAATAAAAGAGACATGAAAATTTTACTCATATGTAGAAAAAGTCACATTATATATATGAGTCGAAATGGTACAGTCGTTTAATGCTGATTGCTTTGAAGAATAATGCTTTTTCTTTCATCAAGAGAATATTTAGGTTTTATTATTGAAGATTTCCTGAATGTTCGTTAGTCACGAAAACTACACACATGTTTTATCAGAATCGAAGCGCCTAAATTAATCCTAATTTATAATAGTTTTTGCATAAATATATTTTATCATAATTTAGACAACATAATGTTAAACATTCTTATATACCAATAATAATATTATACCTTTCAAAAAAATTTTCAATTACTGTACAGATCTAAAAAACGGTGAAATACGAAGCGGACGCACGTACAATCTAGAAAATGGAAATGCGCAAAATATATATATTCTGATCAATAAATAGAAAACATTCTTATGTAGATTAAATTCAACATATATCTTACCGCACTGAAGCTCGGAAGAGAAAGAACCATGATTTTACCAACAGTTAACGTGCAAGGTAAAGTGCTTCTTAGCATCATCACGTTCAGAAGTTTTCTGGATTTCGGTGATGATTCGTACCATTCGCCTCGATAGCTAATATTAAGACGTAAAAAAATTTGTATCTTAATATTAAAAATCTTATTAATATATTTTTAAATTGTAATAAAACTTTTTACATTTTATTTATTCTTTTACTGTTGCATTTAATTGTGACATTAAAAAACTTTTTGTGTACAAAAATTTTACATTCTGGCTTACATCGATGTGTATACACGACTGCTATGATCAATCACTTGTTGCCCTAACCAGCATGCGATGTATAAATGCAGTAATTGAGCAGTTATGTAACCACCATGTCGAAGAGCGAGTTCTGGAGTGAAGCTATCAATGGTTGCCTAAAAGTTTCGAAACGATTTTAATCATAACTAGAACTTACAAAATCGTACATTATGTTATCACAATGTGCTCACAATATATAATATATATATATATATATTTATATATATATATATATATATAATATAACAGAGTGTCCCAAAAGTCCCGTGACGCGGTCGAATATTTCAATAAACTATGCACTTTAGAAGAAATGTTTCGAACAAAAGTTTAATGGCTAGAAGGGTTCCATCAGATAGTGGCAATGATTTGGCATGGGAGAGTCATTTGATAAGTCAATGTGAAGAAATCATCGTCAATTTCTTAAAATGCCAATCCCCTCTTTTTATTTACATATTCGTGTAGCTTATCTGGGGCGCTTTCCAAAATACTATATACAAGTATTTTCTTCATTGAGCTGACTTTTTCGAAGTTATAAGGCTTGAACCATTTCTTAATTTTGCAAAACCATAAAATCTCTAAGTAACAATAATCATTTTTCAATTATCTTACATTAAATACGTTTTTATTGTACAAAATAATGAGGGAATCGAATTGATACCAGAAAAAACATAGGTTGTTTTTTAAAGAAATAAGAAATATGTACATTTGCAATTAACAATTACATCTATCTGAAACATTTCTTTCTAAATGTGCATAATTTATGAATTATTCGACCGGTCCGTGCCCTTTTTGGGACACTACTATTATTATATATATATATATATATATAATATCATAACATATATATACAATATTTTCTCTTATTTCTCAGCACAACCCTGTAAAGCTGACAAACTCATACCCCTATAATTAAACCGACTTCTATGAAAAACACCTTTGAATAAGCCAGTTTCCAAAAGGTTTGGCGGAACCTTTCAAAGAAACCTTAATATTATCTCTTCTTAACATATGTAAATTAAAAAGTTTTAAATTCTCCCTTTATTATCGAACGATTACTAATATTAATTTCTAATTAAATACTAATTATTAATTATTTTAATTATAACTGCAAGGCATTTTCGTGTTTTCGAATGCAGTAACGCAAATATGTAAATCTTTCATCTTCCTCGAGATAGCGAGTTCTTTATCTCTAGTTTCGATAGATTCTCGGTAATATGTCCACATCATCTACATAAACGAAATAAGAAGAAAATTTCCATTTTTAACAAGAAATTCAGAAAAAGAAGAAATTCATTTTGCTTACAAGTTAGTCCATTTATTAATAAAAGTACTGACGATGAAAACAGTGGCGCAGCAATGTTGTACCAGAAAGCCACGTAGCTATCGGATGCGACTATTGATGTAGCCGATGGCGGTGGTAATAATTATGAATTAATAACAGGCATGATAATAACTTAATCGGAGATTTACCGAAATTAGTTCGACATGGTATGGAAATCCTACTTGGTCGCGTCGAATAGTTGGAAACCACGTTTTGGTCAATAATCTTCGGCAGTTACGCCCATTAGTTGAAATAGGCTGCCGAATGGATACAGCACCTATATTTAAGCCATGCTTAGAAAAAAATTATGTTCAGATTTTTTAACGCACTAAAACTTAAATTAGGAGCATTTGAAGAATAACCGTCGAGAAATGAATTAAGTATTTGAAGCATATATTTAAATTTTAATTTTTAAATTAATTTTAATATCTTAAATTTTTTTACAAATTATTACCATACGTCTAAGCGCATAAACGTTTTAATGTTAGTAATTAACTATCTCAAAAATAAAGTTGTTAACTATTCCATAATATCTTAACAGCTAGCCGCTTGTTTATGCTCTTCCAGTTTCCGGCAAATTTATACAGAATCTTTCGAAATTCGCTTGGACTGTCCAACGATTGCCATCCTTTGTAATGCTTCTAAGAAAGTATTTTTGATCTATTGGCTAAAATTTCATTCATTTAGAAATGTGAAATTAGCGCGTTTGATATACCAATTGTGTATGCATACCTTTCTATAATTGCATATTAAATTTATCATCTTAACGATGCAAGCAATAATCCACCAATGAAGGGGTGGTATACATTCAGCGTTGCGATTAAGTCGTGACGTAGTTATAAAGCGAATACCTTGATCACTCATTTGCGTCAAGAAGATATCGATGCAAAATGTACATTTTAACAAAAAATATAAACGCAGAATTAAATTTAACAATTTGTCAACATAATCCCTTTAAATAAATTAATAAAAATTTATTCAATAAAAATTTATTAATAATAAAATTAATTTAATAAAATTAATAATAAATAATTAATAAAATTATAATGCTTTGTATAATCTATTATATTTTTTTGTAAATATTTTTATGATAGTCCAATGAATAATAGAAAATATTTTCACTCGTATAAATAAAAAAAAATATATAAAAATGTTTGCGGGTGATTTATAATTATATCACAACATATCGAATGATTACCTGTGTGATGGCTTGCCGTTAACCAAGGACCGATATTCGAAGAGATAACTCGTCTATGTTATCCTGTTGAAAGGCCACTGTCCAGTAATGAAAGCGCACACGATTGAGTCGCATTATCGATGAACTGAACGATTATCACTCGGTGAATCCCATCTTCAGCACTGGTTGGAGACTAATATATCGTGCATTCGCTCACGGATTTTTCAGATTAATAAAAAACTGTTCTCACAGATGATAAAATAATTGGATATAGCGGCTCGAAATTAAATCCGAGAAAAATTTGCCAACGCTTATATAACGATTGACGATTCTACTAGAGAAAAGGTTTGAAGCGATCGAACATTATCATAGGGAATATGTATATGCTCTTTTATGATTGATTTTACACAGTTATGATGTTATACCCGTACTACATTTGGTAATAAAATTTTGGTAATTATCGTTAATTGTCAAGTTAACACATCACACATAAATCTATATTTATTGATATGATTATTATCTTTTCGAAATTAGCGGTGAGAAAACATGTAAAGATGCATTTATCAAGAATAATGAAGATACATCGCATGAGTAATATTAATATTCTTCGATTATTTTATCATAAAGTGTGAGTAGAGGCACTTTTTATCATTATTTAAATAGAGAGTATCATACATATTTTTACATCGATAATTTACAACCTTTCAGAAAGAAATTTCCAAAAATTTTATACTTTGACTGTGCACGATTGTGGACTGTAAATACGAAGAGATGCACCGACCGACCTGCAAAATAGAAATATTTTTGTTAAGAAAGAAGATCATTATAATAGGAATTATGATAGCTCTTACGGCTGAAAACTAGAAGGAGAAGGACCATGATTTTTCCAGTCAATGTACAAGTGAGATGCTCCCCTCAACATTATATATTGTAAAAGTCTTTTTAGACTTGGATGAATGATTCATACCATTTGCGCCTCGATAAATCAAATATTTAAAAAATTTTTATTAATATTGTGTTTTGTTACATTATTATATCCTTGTTATTTGCATCTTAAAAATTTAATAGAAGAAAAATCTATATCGAGCTTACATTGCTGTATATACATGATCGCTAATTCGATTATTTGTTGGCCTACCAGCATAGAAGTTAATAAGTGTATTAATTGGCTCCATCTATATATCCGCCATGTCGAAGCAGCGCCTGTGGTGTGAGGGGTATCAATGTGGTCGCCTAATGTTTTCAGAAACGGCGGAACATTAATAAATAAATGGCACAAAATTGCGCGGATTTATGCACTGGGTAGTCTGATAACTTTTTTGCAAATTCCGAAATGTGCGAAAGGTAGATTGCTAATATAAGAAAGGTCCTACTTCTGTTTTGTGCGATATTCCGCAATAATTAACGGAAAAATTTAATTACAAGAAGATTCAGTCAACCAATGTGCAAGTATAACGTTCTCGAGAAACGCTATACTTGTCGCAGGATTGGCTGGATCTTCTTTAATTAATTTTTTCGTTCATTATTGCGAATATCGCAAAAACAGAGAAGACCTTTCTTATTAATTTAAGCAATCTCTTTCAGCACTTGGGATTGCAAAAAGTATCAGACAACACTGCATAAATCGCGCAATTTTGTGCATTTTATTTTATTAATTTCCGCGCGTTTGAAACATATAGGCGAACCCATGATACCCTCACAACCCAGGTCGCTGTTCGACATGGCGGATATAATATGTGCCAATTAATACACTTATTTTAACTGTTGCTGGTGTTAGGCCAAACAATAATTCGATCTATAGCGAATCAATGTAATATACAGCAATGTAAGCCGGAATATAGATTCTGTCTATTAAATTTTTTAAGAATGCAAATACAAGGTATAATAATAATGTACAAATAAATCACAATATTAATAAAATTTTTTAATAATTAGTTATCGAGGCGAATGGTATGAATCATCATCCAAAGTCTTCATAAAAACTTTTTAAAATATGGAATAAATGTTGAGACATCTTCACCATTGTTAACAATTGGAAACCTGTTTGGAAAAAATCATGGTTCCTTTTCTTTCCAGTTTTGGCGGTAAGAGCTATCATAATTTTCCTTTATATAATGATCTTCTTTTAACAAAATATTTCCTTATTTTCAGGTCGTCAACGTGCAGTCTGCTTTCGTATTTTACAAGTCCTACAATCTGTACAATAAGTATCAGAAATTTTGGAAATGTTCTTTTTCTGAAAGGTTGTAAAAATTACGATGTAAAAATATGTATGATACTCTATACTTTTAAAATAAGAATAAAAAGTGCTACACATTTAGATAAAGATATATCGAAGATATTAATATACCTCATGCGTGTGTTTTCATTATTTTGATAAAGCATACTCATGTTTCCTCACGCCTAGATTTTCTAAGCTAATAAATCATCGATTCAATGAAAATTCAGATGTATAGTTTGTGAGTGTTGAACTTGACAATATACCGATGAATACCAAATATTTTATACAAATGATACGTCGGGCTAATAACATCATAACTGTGTAAAAATCAATCATAACAGAGCATACATATCCCTATGATTAATGTTCGAATTCGCTTCACACCTTTCATCTAGTAGAACGTCAATCCGGTATAATAAGCCGTGGCATTTTTTCTCGTGATTATATTCA